CCGGGGTCCCCGCTCCCCAGGGACCCCAGAACCTCCTCCCTCCTGTGCCCCCTCGAATGTCTTCTTCCCATTGCCCGTGTTTGCCGTGCAAGAAGCGTGTGCCTCCTGTAGTGAGCCGCTGACATCCTTCCCTTCTGTTACCTCTTCCATCCGATCTTTGCATTGCCTGTACATTACCCTGCCATCACCGCTCCTCCGCCCGTGCATCAGCCCCCTCTGCGCACCGTGCCTGCACGGAGACGGTGTGGGTACGGAGAGGGACCGCGTTCCTTGGAATCCCGGGAGCCTTGCTGCCTGTAAATTAAGTAGCTAGCATACCATACGTCAAGAAGTGAACCTACTCGGTTGCATTTTAGGATGCTTGTAATCTCATAACCATATACATACCATACAGCCTTACGTACCTTCGTGCCTTTCCCTGCCTTCCTGCACCATAGTCTTCCTGCTGGAGCGGGGAGCGTTGGTTTCCAGTTATGTCACTGCTGTTTTGGGGAATGGCAGAAAGAGAAACATCTTTTTATAAGATAATCCAAGTGACAACAAAATTAAGGATCAGTTCTAGATTCTGCTATTATTTTTGCTCTTAATAATAATTCATATTGTATTTTGAAAGCATAGTAGTGAGGAATTTTTTCAGTGATGCTTTTGTAATTACCTAGTTTTAGGCTACCTTTAAGAAATTTTAAGAATATTGAAAACAGCAGCTTCCTTTTAGTTTTCTTTCTAACTAAACCATCTACTCTTCAAATCCAGAGGGAGGTTCCGATAAGATGAAAATGCTCATCTTATCTGTGTGCATGCTGAACTACCGAACTGGCTATTCATAGTGTGTGTTTCCTGCCAGCGCATTTTGAATTTCGCTAGATACTAATTCTTCTTGTGACCATCTACTGTGAAACAGTGATAAGATCCAAGAAATAATACGGCTATTATAATATTATAGGGCTTTATTTTAATATTCTCAGTGCTTTTGCAAGCGCTTCGACTAGCAGGAGGAAGAAGGACAAAGTGGTGGTGGGTGTCCACGGGGGCTGTAAGTTGTGAAGAAGAAAAGAAAGGAGCTTGGGGGTCTTTGTGTGAAGTAGTAGGGAAATAACAGTTACTGAGACACGAGGACATGGTGCCAGTTACTTTGGTGAGGAATAATGTCTGACCGAAACATGCTACCGAGGACGTTGGTTTAGTGTGTAGGCAACTGTATACTTGGAGATGCAGAATACGTATGCAGAACAAATCCAATGTAAGTAAATGTTCGTTGAAATGACTCGATGTGAGAGCAAGTCAAAAGAGCTCCGTAGAGGAGTGTCCTTTAATGAGAAGCCATTGCCTTTGGGCACAAACTATTCAAGTTGACTTTGAAATTCAGTGTGACTTCATCAGGTAATCAGTTGCCTGCAAGCTGCGTAAAAACACTTCGTTCAGAGGCCAGCAGTAGATTTTTAGGGTCAGTGGTGATGTAGGAAAGCACAGTTGGCTTCTTTCTAAGGAAACAACCAAAACTTAACTCTACAACTCTACAGGGGCGAGGCGGTTCTCCCCCAAACAGCGTACAGCTCCCATGTGGTCTTGGTTCAAACCCCAAGTCTTAGTCAACCAGGTATCAGCGGCTGATGCGTCCTCAGCATCAGTGAGAGACTGGAGTGGGCGCTCGGTGTCTTCTCGCCACACAACTCCACGCTTTGAAGACTTGCACAGGAAAAGCGTTACCTTCCTGTGGCATTACAGCCTTTAAATTGTCATATAGTGTAATAGTGGTGACATAAACACAACTGCTACTACTGTACTTGTTGGGTTTTTATCACTATATTTTTCCAGACGTCAGGATACATAGATGGGTATGCTATGGATATTAGAGCTAATTTTGTCTTTTATATGCTTTTGTTGTTTACTTATTCAGCATTACACAGAAAATAGTATTGTGGTGATTAAATGCTGAAATTAATAAGCACAGCCTCTTATTTCATGGATTTTAATTTTTCCCCTCATTAGAAAGGAACACTGTTCAATGCAGAGATTGTGTACGGTTTTATTGCTTTAACACACTAGCACAGCAGCTTTTTAGTAGAGAATGTGCAAAACTGCAAATGCGAAAGATTCCATTTTTAAAAAATGCAGTAGTTTTGAATTATTCCTACAAATATAATTTGAAATAGCATGGAAACATGCTTCTGTAACAAAACCAGTCTGTTTTTTTGGCAGTGACATTACTAATTCCCTACCTGCGTTAGTTACAAAATGTTAAAAACAAATGGAAAGCATTATGAAACTTCACATTTAGAAGTAGTTCAGACATTTGATGTGCTCCCTGTGATCATCTTTGCAGGTAAATATTGGATGTTTTCCATGTAGGGTCATATAAAGAGAAAAGAGTTTTGTTGTAAGTTTGGGACAAAAAGATCTTGTTGGACAAAAAAAAATGTAACCGTGGACTCAAGTGGGAAGAAAAACAGAATTAAAAATAGGATAAAATAGTCTTGTGAAGATGTACATTACGTACCAGTTTTGTGACTGAATGAGAATTTTAAATGTGTTCATATATTAAGATTTGTCATAGCTTAAAATTACCATATTGCCTGATTTTTTAATAGGGAAAATTATTTGGAGGACTAATGGAAAGGATTTACTGTTTGCTTGTTATAGGAATTAGACAAATACTTACTCTAGATCAGTAGATACAATCTGAGTAGCTAGCGGCTGAAAAGTAACTCAGTATAACTTTGTGGTGTCCTTTATGATAGACTGTATTGTATAAATATTTGTTCCTAAAAGAAAGGTGATATTAAATATAACTTGCAATGCTAGGTTAAATAATACTGAAAATGTGTATGTCGTCAGTTCAGAATTCTACGGTTTTCTGAATAATTTACTTTTTTAAAGTGTAATATAAAATCAAATAGTTGAACAGTTTGGGGGGCAGGGAGGGCAATCAGGAAGTTTCATATGCTCTGTAATTACTGAATGGATTTTTAAAAAAAGAAGTTAAAATGAACTTTCCCATGCAGGTGTGCTGTTTTCTGGCTCCTCTAAGAAGATAATTGCTAAATTTTACAGTTTTGAGCTACTTGAGGTACATTGTAGCACCTGAATTTTTTTCGTATCTCTAAATTAGAGATAGTATCGACAGATAAATTGTTATTTTTATTAATTTTACAGCACTCTAAGAAAACATAACCCCAGAATTATATTAGATTTAAGAAATCTTACTAAATAAGAAAGGGTCTGAACTAACGTCTGTTGAGATTAATGATAAAATGCCTGTTTATGTCAATGCAAGTGCTACTGGCTTTGCTTTTGACCAAAATCATGACTGATTACATGATACTTTAAATCATAAGGTTTTATCTGAAGAACCTTTCAGAAAATTCCGTTGACCCTTTAAGTTGATTTTTGGATAAATATAATTGTAACCATGAAAGAAAGCCATCTCACACCCAGTTCTTACAAAATGTCATTGAAGTTGATATGAATTGCTATTTACTTGAAGATGATTGCCTCCTATATATTAACAGAAATAAAAGGGCAACTGTCTGCGCCCTCTGGTGTGAATTTCCTTTCCAATTAGTACTTCTGATCAACCTTTGATTGGAATAAGAGTGGACAAAGAAAAATATGCTGATTTTTCCTGCAGTCGAGGGGACCCTTCCAGCATCCATTCTGGATAAGAATATTTCAGACGGCTGATGTAGCTGATATTATGTATGCTTTTTGTGTGTGTGTCCTGATTAAACTAGTCGCTTAGAGAAACAATAGCAAGTATGAATCTCTTACCAGATCTTGTCATGATTTTTGTTAATTGGTTATCTTATTGTGGCTTTGATCTCCCCATGTGTCGTGTTAGTGAAAGAAGTTGAAGACCTGGCAAAACTTATGCTAATTTAACATTTACTGTACATTCAGTATGTATTCAGTGTAATTGTGTTTCCGTAAGAACTTCTCTTACATAAACTAGAATTCACCTATTTTAGTATTACTGTTGCATCAGGAATATTAAATGAGCTCTACATTCCTCAGTCCGTTATATTAACACTTGAGACTTTTCTCCCCCAGGTTTGCAGTCACCGTATTAGATCGTGCAGCAGCATTCGCTTTATAAAATCAAAATATGTGTGCATGTTCGACAAATCTGCCCTCAAGTTTAGTCATCAACAGCGATTATTCAGAACATCTGCTGGTAATCTTTTTCATAATAAAATACTTTATTTTATTTTTGTTATTTTATGAGTGTTATCTTAGCAGTTTATACATGACTGGCATGTAGACTATTTTTGATGCATTCATATTTTTCTGTCTGATATCTTACATTTAATATTAGACATGCTGTATTTCCTTATTGTCTGTTTTAAGTTTCGTGTGGCCAAATTGTCCAGTTTAAGCTTTCTGACATTGGAGAAGGGATTACGGAGGTGACTGTCAAAGAATGGTAAGCTCTGCTTTCTTAGAAATATACTAAGAAATCAGCAAGTAGTTTAACAGCTGTATTGTCAATTAGTTATCTGAGAATATGTTTTCTGAGTTACTAGTGAAGTTTTTCAGCTTTCATTTGCCACTTCTTAAAACCTTGTAGATACTGAGCTTTACCTTTTGTTTATTTGCAATCTGGTTTATTTGGGAGTGGAAAAGATGGAAAGAATGGGATGCCCTAACTGCACCTGTATCTAGGCTTTCCTTCAGTGATTAATGTTTCTAGAGTGCAGGAGGTCTGTCTTTTATTAAGTTTCCTTAGGCTGAACTTTAGAAACAAATGGCTAGTCTGGAGAATCCACGTAATTTTATCCTGTACTCCTTCTCTATTGACTTTAGTAAAAGATTTGAACATTTAAATTGTTTGTAAAAAGCCAACGATGAATGGATTAAGCAAAATCAAAGTGTACAGTGAAGGAGGGCAGTGTTGAAATGCCTTGTTCTTTGTACCGATAGGTGAAAATGCCTCTCGCTGCGTAGAAAACAGTGCTGCCCGCTTTCAGTTGCTTTTCTGAAACTGATCATACACTGATCCTGGTGAACTGAGGTTCAGACTAAGCTGGGCTCATTCTTATTTTTAGATGTCTCATAATCTGTCAAGAAAACTTTGCTTTAGTAAAGTAGTAGTAAAAATGTATGTGTGATGATATTCTAAATCATTGTGTCATTTCACACCACAAAGGGTTCTGGAGCAGTCAGGCAAAAGGTGTACAGCAAATGCAGTCGTTACATAGAATTTCTCTTCTTGTCTAGAACACATTTTCATGTTGTGGGGATGTACATGAATAAACTTATCAAAAGAATACACAGCATAGATTTTTACACTTAATATGTTTTATACTAGCCTGTGTCTTTTCTCCTAGGTATATAAAAGAAGGTGATAGCGTGTCTCAGTTTGATAGCATCTGTGAAGTACAAAGCGATAAAGCTTCCGTTACTATTACTAGTCGTTATGATGGCATCATTAGAAAACTCCATTACAATTTAGATGAAATTGCTTATGTTGGAAAACCATTAGTGGACATTGAAATCGATGCTTCAAAAGGTATTGTAAGCCAGTTTTTTCTCTTGCATATTTTATGTTTTTTGTCATAAAATCATCAGTGACAGAGGAGTTTACTTTTTCC